AGGTGGTGGTTTTGTGGTGCTGCCTCTTGAGGTATATCCATATCTGCAGCCCCATATAAGCCCTCTCTTGGGCCTCCCGATGTTTTACCCATGCTCTATCCTGAGCTTCTAAAGTTTTGCGTTTGATGAACGGGCTCGGTTTGATCGGAAGTTCCTCTGGCAGGATAACAATTCCCGAGCGCTTACAAATGCCACTATTGAGGCTCGGGAATATCAATGAGTTTCGACGATCACCCAATACTCCCAAGGAATGGATTTTCATAGATTAGAGAGGCGAGATCGACCTTTGGCCCCGAGCCAAGTGATAAAGAAGACTAGCTCTCGGATCTGGGAACGTGGAGCGATGTGAGGTTGGCTCAATGTTATGGCAAATGAAGAGCCATAGTATGGCTAAGGATGGTGTGAGCTCAATCTGATACCATTCCTGTCTGTAGGGGCCAAGCAGCTGTACACCCCAACAAAACCTTCTCGACTTTAGGCCATGGAAAATCAATGGAAATTGGGGTGATATTATCCCAAGTAAGCTGATAGAAGCCGTGAATGATTTCTGGTGTAAACATCAACCACTTGCCCTGTACCCATGTTTGGTATTGGTGTTTGGACCCTGGCGTGTCTATCTCACTGTTGAAGTTTACGTAGAATTCTCGGACTAAGCCGTCATAGACTGGGTGCGGTCGATCCACCACTTTTTCCCAACCACAATTGTGTACCAAAGTTAGCAATCCATAACCTGGGAAATCTGAAAGTTTAACTGGCCACTCCTGAAGTAGCGTCCATTGAGAGACAATCTCGGCAAACTTGAGTCGAGTCCTGGGACCTAGAAAGCGCCTTATGTGCTCTTCGGGTGTTTGGGTACGGGACGTGTCGGAAGCAGAGCCAACCTTTTCTTTCCCTTTCAAAGTTCGTTTTGGTCACATCCTGTAAAAGGGAAATGAGAAAATTGGTTAAAAGAGGAAGAATGAGGCTAAAGGCAAGAATGAACATTATAGGCCACATAAAGTATTCCAAATGTGCTTTAACCATGTCAAAAACCAATGTTGGTGTGTAGCAATAGATATAGGAATGCAAACATATGATAGGTCAACCATAAAGGAGTGTAATGCAAGCACGTCATGAAAAATGTGCTATGGTGGACCAGCTAACGTTACCCTCAGACACTGTCGAGAAAATTTGAGATTTTTTCGGGCATCCTCCGGGCATATGAAAGTATGTAAGGTAGTCTAGTACATATAAAAAATTCATTCAGTTCGGACGTCAGTGGGTTAGGGAATGTGATGAGCAAAGTAGGTGCCATGAGGAGCCACGGCCTAGCCATTTGTCCCATGTGGTGACATCAATGGATTGGAAGTGTAGTGGGGGTGGCACAGAACATGAAATGCAGTTTAGAACACGTGGAAAACAAGTGGGGGTTGAAATGAGCAATGAGAAAGGAAAAATTGTGCACTTGGACATTTCATCAAACACCTAGAAAGCACAATGTTGTTGCACAAATGTCTAAGCTCCATGGTGAACCTTCAAAATCCCAGTTCATCAACACCAAACAAGATTAAACCAGCGACTAATCATCCCCAACTTCTCAACACTTAAGTAATAATACTCCAATAAATAGAAACAAGAAAGGAAACATTACAAAGCAAATGAAAGAGGTAGGGCAAACCTTAGTATCTTAGGTGCAATTTGTGCAACTTGTTGAATTGAAGGTAGTGATCGAGGTTCTAATGTGTTGTGGGACCGTGTGTGCTGGAGGGGGGAATGGGTCATGTGTTGTGGTGAGGGAGGGGGGAAAGTGTGAGTTTGTGTTGAGAAAAAGAAGAAACAAAAAAAAAATATAGGGGAGTGGGGGTATTTTCGTACCATGCGACCGCATGGTACAATTCCATGCGGTCGCATAGAATATGGGGTCAAGGCCAATTTTGGCCGTGACCCATATTGGGCGACCGCATGGCTATGAACAACATAATCTTTAAATAATATTTTGAAGTTTGCAAAACATGCCGAAGTCGATACTAAAGGAATCTGATCTTCAAAATCTCGATTTTCGACCTCACCTTGCCAAATGACATCCTAACACCCTCCCAACTCAGAAAACCCCGTGGGCATCATAATGAGGGTGAGGATTCAAGAATATTGCACGAAAATATGTTGTAGATGCAAGGCATAAATCATTACAGAAAAACACATTCTTATCAAGTAGTCCACGTTGGTGTCGAAATCTCCCAAAACTACATCCCCACATCTATCAAAACTTCGTGTGTGTATGTACGTTGAGAATCTCACTCCGAAAATTGAATTTAACCTGAATGCACATGCAGATATGAAAAATACAGTTGTTGACCATTTTTGCCCCAAAACACATGAATTTCGCACAGAATGGAAAGATGACCAATGTAACACCCCAAAACGGTATCCAACCATATTACAAACTACATAAAATGCTTATGAGCTGTAACAATACATCTAAAAGCATTTTTAAACATGAAAGCACGTTTTGTCTAGTTGTGCCTCGATATGCGTGAGTTTTCTCCCCAAGTGCCCAAAGAAGATTTTTATACCACATAAGACATAAATACTGCATTCAAAACTCATATGGAGCATGCATGGGTACTTTGTGAACCACATAGGCAAGTAATGACCTAAAACTACCAAAAAGTCATGAAGAAATTGAAAAGTACTAAAACAAATGAAAAAGAAAGGGAATGAATAAAAGGCTAGAAATGATGGGTTGCCTCGCATTTAGCGCTAGTTTATAATCGATAGCTAGACTGTGCTCGACTGTACCGTGTGGAGATCATTTTGGTGGCTGAAGATGAATGGTGGATTTATCTTTCGAGGAGTCCCTGCTCCAATAGTGTTTTAAACGCTGTCCATTTATCTTGAATGTTCCTTTGCTCTCATGGGTGATTTCCACAGCTCCATGTGGGAATACCTGTGTAATAGTGTATGGGCCAGACCACCGTGACCTCAGTTTTCCTAGGAAAAGCTTTAGGCGAGAGTTGAACAACAACACCTATTGCCCCACAAGAAACTTCCCTCGCTGAATATGCATGTCATGAAATTTCTTGGTTCGTTCCTTGTAGATTTTTGCATTTTCATAAGCTTCCTGACGAAACTCATCCATCTCATTTAGCTGAAGTAAACATTGTTCACCCGCTACTTGCAGATCCAGATTCAACATTCAAAGTGCCCAATATGCTCGATGTTCCAACTTAACTGGCAAGTGGCATGCTTTTCCAAACACCAGACGGTATGGTGACAT